ATATATAAATAAATATACATTACAGTATTTTGTAATGGTAAATACCTTGACAAGTAGTCAAAATTAAAAAAAAAATTTTTTTTTTTTTGAAAATTTACAGATATATGTAAAATTCAGTGATATTAAGGGGTGGTTATTTGAGTATATACATTTTACAAAAAAAAAAAAAATAAACACCTCCTAGAATAAACCCTTGATAATAAGCAGACCAATGAAAAAATTCAGCTGGTTCCTATAACATTATTTGGGCGACCATATTGTATGTTTGTACCTGTTTGCAGATCTTAATCCTACAGTAATACTAACTTCAAATGTATTCTATTTGCAGAAATTACAAAACCTAATTCAAATTTCGCGGAAAACTTTTATATATTCTATAAAGAGAGTAAATACTTGTGTTGTATACTATCAAGGCCTTTCGCTTATGCCTGATATTGTTTATACTGGAGACATAAACTTCTGATTTAGAAAATCATCAGCCTGACCATTGAGAGATGAGGTACTTATTGCACTATCATTTGAATCAGATCTCACAGGGACAAGAAAAGTTGTGGAGTTGGTTGATGTAGACCTGTCGATGTATTGACTTTGCTTCTTGTTAGCAGAGGGGCGTCTAGGGGGCATCCACACTTCCAGTTTCTTCCAGAAGGTTTTGTTGGTACCACCGGATTTCCACTTTAGGACCTTACCAGCTTCAATAACGTGTTTTAGGGCATCTTGCTCACTGAGGCTTTCTGGTGAGATTGAGCGGAACATAACAGGAATGATCATCTTCTTCTGCTTGTGGTTTCGAAGCGCATTACTGAACTCGAGCAAGCAGTGTTGGTATTTGAGATAGTCAGGTGACAGTACCAAGATGCAGCTTCTGCTACAGTTTACAGCATTCACTGAATTTGTACTACGATCTGTAAAAAAATAATGTACATGAGTGGCAGGGCCGTAGCTGGGGAGGAATAAATGCCGGGGCAAGCCTGCACGTTGGCGAAGGGGAAGGGAAAACATACCAAGACTAAGCAACTGCCTCATATTGCCTATGGCCCACAGTGTATAATAATATTATCATGATTAATTAGGTTATCTCAAAATACAGTAGACAAAAAACATAAAAAGGAATAAGATTTACCTTCGCCTACTGGGGAGTTTATTTCATGGACACAAATATTGTAACCCAAACTTTCGAGAAATGGTCTTAGTTGAGAAATGGCAAATTGTCGGTCCGTATCTGAGTCGCTATGCGAAATGAATGCATCAAATTCCTTCAGATCTATGAATAAAAGAAAACTGCGATTGAATTCATTATCATACAATGGCAGCATTTGGTAAAATCTAGTATTAAAGGGCTGTGTGTGCACTGAACTATGGCGATTTTGTGTGTCTCGTTGTCAGTGGTGTATCTAGGGGTTTGCAGGTGGGAGAGGGACTTCCCACCATTCTACAGTCATTCCCCACCCCCCTCCCCTTGAAAATGTTTGAAGCAAAAACATCATGCTCAAAATTCTTAAAAATCACCTCATATTACA